TATATTATAGTTTTTGCATGAGTATTTATTTCTATTTAGAAATTATTATGGATTCATTACTTATAATTAAAATTGTGCCGCTTACATAAGTTAGATCTTAATTATGCTTTAAAAATATCCATTAAAGACTAAAAGTACGGGCCAAACTACGCAATCCCAAATGTTAGCGTGAAACTACCCACTACTTCCACTTTTGAGGGTGTCAAAAGGGGAAGCAGTGGGTAGATGGGCAAAATGTAGAAAATTGTAAAACCAAGTATAGTCGTGCGAGATACCATGCATGTGATACCTTGTAACACTTCAATATGTTGGAAGCCCCCTTTATGTCCAAATCCATTTTGGAACATTTTGTTTTTGAAATAATGTTATAGAGCCCGGAACAAACAATGCCTTTAGTTTTTGACCGAGGGCATTTGCTCCATACTTACGGCCTCCATATAATCCAATGATCATCCAAAATGCTAGACTTCTTCCCTGCCCTTAAGGCTCTACTCATATAAAATTCCGTGTCGATTGGTTTTCAAGTGTGACCTGTTGAGCGACTGCAAGATCGGGAAAAAATTGGCTTTAATTCTGATCCTAATTCTACCCCATGCAAAATTTCTTGAGGATTGGGCGATAATTGCGACCTGTATGTAATACCCTTAACACATAGTGTTAGAAAATGTACAATTCAAAATTGTAAATCAAATAGAAAAATTTGCATGCGATTACGAAAATTGAAAAAAAAAGTTATAAAAATTATTCACTTTTTATTGGAATATTTTTACGGGATTTTCTTTTTCTTAAAGAGACCATTCCGACTTGAGGAGAATTGTGAAAATCGTTCCTGCATGTTTTGACTTTCACGTATAGATTGTAACTAATTTGGTACATATTTGATATCTTGGCTATCAGCATCATTGTAATAATCAGATTTGACCTTTTAATCCAAATTGATAGGCTTCTTCCCAGCCCTTAACTCATACTCCGTTCATAATTCAATTCATAATTGTGTCCTCTAGAGCAACAGCATCTCCAAAAACAAAAGGCTTCTATTCTGACTCTTACCCCCCCACTTTCAATTTCGTGAGAATCGGGCCATAATTGCAACCTGTAGCTTGAATACAAATTAACATGGACAGACGGACGGACATACATAGCTAGATCGACTCAGCTCGGCAAGATAGGAAGACTCATATATAGTTTCACATAGTGTTCTAGGTTATAATTAAGTATCTCACAAAAAATGATTGGAGCATTCGATTTCGTTCGAAGTTGCCACCTATTTTACACTTATCAGTCATGTCACAAAATCGTATCGAAAAGGTTTGAATTTCGCAATTCGAAATCGCACGATTTTGTTATACCTTCTTCAGATTTCGTACGATTTGGTGAACTACGAATTCAGTGTAGATCTGATTAGAAAATATTGTAGAAGTGTAACTTATAAAAACTATTCTGTTAATGAGAGTTTTTTGTGCAAAAAGAATGTTCATTTCATTATTTTTTACGCAATACGGGGAGTTTCGATTGTTTCTGTAATTGAGGCGCAAAGTCATGAATACAATACTGAAAAAGTACGCCGGAGGAATTTAAGAGATGCTTCGGTCCGAATTCCTGTGCATGTCCCTAAGATATTAATTAATGATTAATTGATTAAACAGCATTCCACAATACATATTTCACATATTTTAAGATACATTCTTGTAAAATTTTTTATACCCTCCACCATACATAGTATGGAGGGTATATTAAGTTCGTCATTCCGTTTGTAACTCATCGAAATAATCATTTTAGACCCAACAAAGTATGTATATTCTTGTTCAGCGAAAAATTCTAAGACGATTTAGCCATGTCCTTCCGTTGTAATAACGCTATAGTCCAAACGAATTAAGATAGGAAGCTAAAATTTTGCACAGATCTGTCTTTTGTCTGCAGGCAGGTCAAGTTCGAAGATGGCTATATCGGTCCACGATATCGTATGGCCCCCATATAACGGTACCCCTCGATATTTGGTATTTTGATGATTTTAGCCACTTTTTTTAATGGAATTGTCTGAAATTCCACACAAGCAGTCCCTTCTGAGTACTTTACCCCCTGAAAGAGAATTGTCTATATAGGTCCACGATATCGTATATTCCCCATATAACGGTATCCCCCGATATTCGGTATTTTGATTATTTTAGCCACATTTTTAATGGAATTGTCCGAAATTCCACACAAGCAGTCCCTTCTGAGTACTTTACCCCCTGAAAGAGAATTGTCTATATAGGTCCACGATATCGTATATCCCCCATATAACGGTACCCCCCGATATTCGTTAATTTGACGATTTTACATACATTTTTCAACGGAACTGTTTGAAAATCTACACCAGGAGTTCCTTGTGGATACTTTATCCCTTGGAAGAGAATTTTCCATATAGGTCCACGATATCGTATAACCCCCATATAACGGTACCCCCCGATATTTGGTATTTTGATGATTTTAGCCACATTTTTTAACGGAATTGTCTGAAATTCTATACAATAAGTTCTTTTTTAACACTTTACCCCCTGAAAGAGAATTCTCCATATAGGTCCACAATATAGTATATCCCCCATATAACGGTACTTCCCGATATTCGGTATTTTGAAGATTTTAGCCACATTTTTATGTCTATATAGGTCCACAATATCGTATATCCCCCATATATCGGCACCTTCTATTTTGAAGATTTTAACTGAATTTTTAATGGATTTTTTTTTTTTGAAAATTTCCTAATTCGTTTCAAATGGTGGAGGGTATTCAAAGTAGGGCCCGACCGAACTTACTGTTTTTTTACTTGTTTTTTTTTTTTTTGTGTTCCTTTTGTTTTGTATTGAATAATTTTTGTTGACCAAAAAAAGTGATTTGGCAAACTTTGTTAACAATTGCTATCGTCAATTGAGAAACCTTTAAAATTTGCTTAAATTTTGAGTAAAAAGATTAATAATGTAAATTTATTTGTGTATTTGTCATTAAGGCAACATTTTTATTACTTAAAAGTATTTTGAGAGTGTTTTAAAGTCACAAGTTTCCATAAAAATACAATTTCACTCGCAAAAACAAAAGTAGTTTCAAATCGAAAAAATCTTGCGATTGATACTACATTAGTTGTATTTGTGTGAGTGAACACTTGGCTCATATTTCATCAATACAAAATGACAATTTCGACTTTTTGATGAGGCACAAGTTTGGTCATATCAAATAATAACTTCAATCTGATAATACCAGTGAGATCTATCGAAGAATGCAATTAAGTTTTTCAATACAATAATATGGATGAACTCGTCACATAGGGGTCATACCAAACGGGAACAATTTTCTACTACAAGGATTGTTATCAATTGCGAGTCTTAAATACCGAATTAAGAACACCATGGAAAAATATGGCAAGGATATGCGTACAATTATATGGAAAACGTGTACCTATATAGAAAATGATATGTCACAGGAGGTTCTACCTCCATTACAAACTGCATTTACGAAATCCAAAAAAAAAAATCGCAAAACAACTAAAAAATATCAGTCGGGTCTGCCGACGGATGTATACCCTCAGCCGATTATTTCGATTTCAAAATATAGCTTCACTTCTGTTATGATTATTCAAATTGTTGACCTTCTATAGAGTAGGTTCCGATGAAATGGGCCAATTTTGTCCAATCCGTCTCGGACTGGGTTTGCGACGTGTCGGCTTTGGACTATATTGGTTACATCCTTCACTATATATTTGATACATGTGATATTTTTCAGAAAACGTTAAAATGTGCGTGAGTTGCCAGATATAGTCGGCCGAAGGACTTCATTTTTATACTTCATCTATTATAAATAAAAACAAGTAAGCAAAGGCTATAGTGCGGGGCCGACCATCTGATACCCTACAACGCTACAATATGTTAGAAGCCCCCTTATGTCCAAACCCAGTTTGGAAGATTTCGCTTTTGAAATTATGTCGCGGAGCACGGCGCATATATTGCCCTTAACATTTTGACCAGGGACATTTGACCAATATTTAAGCACTCCGTCGGGCTGTTACACGCAGAAAAATATATGTTAGAAATATGTTTGGATCCAAACATATATTTGTTTGGGACTGGTTGCAAACAAATATATTTTTGGATGCAAACATAATTTGTTTCGGTGCAAACAAATATTTGTTTGCAACATTTTGTAACATAACTCAATTTTATTTGTTAGGTACCAACATATTTTATATGTTAGAACATATTTTTTTATGGGTGCGGAGAGGATTTTTTTCAAAGAGCTAAACAACAGAGCTCTCGATTACTTTTGAATTGGTGTTATAGGTGACTTAAAAGAAGACAGGAGGGTGAGAAGTCTGTTTTTGCGTTGATGATGTGTTGGCTTGGTTGGCCGCACAACAAAGCAGAACCGAAACATTTTTTGCTCTCTTCCAAATATAACTGTAAATAGAAGTTGTATGTATGCATGAACATTAGTAAGAAGTAACGTCTCAGCAACAACTAGAAAATACACACCGCACAACAACAACAACGAAAAAACTTTTTGCATGTTTTTTCGTTGCTGTTGTGCGGTGTGAATTTTCTAGTTGTTGCTGAGACGTTACTTCTTACTAATGTTCATGCATACATACATACATGCGTTTTTCGCATTAACACCGACATATATACAGAGGAGTCAATTTTTTTGTGTGTTGTTGTTGTAACGTTTTCTTTCTCAAGTAGGCATTTTTTGGTGCATGGACAATAGAAAAGAAATAAACGTCTCAGCAACAGTTTCCATCCCTCTTGCCGCGCACACACCACACATAGTTACAGCAGCGATCGGCAGTGTTTGCTTGGTGAGAGCAAAAGAGCGTAACATTGGCGCGTGTCTCAAGTTGAGATGGGATGGAAACTGTTGCTGAGACGTTTATTTCTTTTCTATTGTCCATGCACCAAAAAATGCCAACAACAACACACAAAGAGCTGTTTGGATGTTTTTTTGTTGCTGAGACGTTGCTTCTTACTAATGTTCATGCATACATACATGCGTTTTTCGCATACACACCGATTTGCTTGATGAGAACAAAAGAGCGTAACATTTGCGCGTGTCTCATGTTGGCATTCTGGTTGTGTTCTTTTTTTATTCTTTTTATTTGTTTTGTGCCTTCGCGTCGTGTCACAAGTGTTGTAATAAATGTTGATACCAACTGTTTTGGGGGAAGACAAATTATTTGTCGAAGCGCCGGAGCCTTTAAATCTACAAAGCTTTATAAAAGCAGCCAAATTAGAGTTAAAAATTGATGCCTCAAGAAAAATAACAGCCTTAGAGTTTGGTGCAACCATTAAAGAAGACCAGTTTGAAAAAGTAATTCATCAATATATGTCAACACCTACTTTTCATATTGAGTTGCAATTTGGAGGTAAGTACACTGGATTTACAGCCTGTTTCTTTATGTCGGAACAAAAAAAATTTCGTTTCAAAATAAAGAAACAGGCTGTTAATATTTTTTTCTTTTTTTAAATAATATATTTCTTTTTTTAAATAATATATTTAATTTTCATTTAGACTCCGTTCGATCAGTGGCATCAGCATCGACAGTTAGTGGCACTCTATCGGAGTGTGAATCCGTAGGTGGTTTTGGGGATCTTACCCCAAAAACAAATGTTATTTCAACTTTAAAGACTGACATAGAGTCCATCAAGTCAATTCCGGCTATCAACAAAATATGGAGAATTTTTATTGCCGAAAAACGCCTGCAAAATAAAGATAGGGTGAATATTTCGAAGGCCCTTATTGACGAATGTCTAAAAGAAGACCCTAACAGATTGTAAGTATTTTACTTTATTGAAAAAATAGTGATTGTAATAAAAGGAAAAATAATAAATTAATAAATAAAAATAATAACAAATATTAAGAATAATATTAATAATAATAAATTAAAAAATTAATATAAAATAAAAGTTTTATGAAAACTGGCACGATATAAATTATAAACTTATTAACAAATGTTTATTTTATTTTATCAATAACAACAATATATTATTTATAAAAATTAAAACATAATAAATTAATATTAGAAACATAAGAATAATTTTAAGCATAATAAAAATTGTAATAATTAAAATAATAAAATAATATCAGTAATAAAAAATTGTTAAAAATAATAATATTAAAATAAAAATTCTAATTATAAAGATATTAAAGAAAATAAAAAACTATGTTTCAGTATAAATTATTTATTTTCTTTAATATTTTTATAATTAGAATTTTTATTTTAATATTATTATTTTTAACAATTTTTTATTACTGATATTATTTTATTATTTTAATTATTACAATTTTTATTATGCTTAAAATTATTCTTATGTTTCTAATATTAATTTATTATGTTTTAATTTTTATAAATAATATATTGTTGTTATTGATAAAATAAAAATGTGTTAATAATTTAATATTAATTATTAATATCAATATTTTTATTGATTTTAATCAGTTTTATTATTATTTTTTTTAGTATTTGCAAAAGTTTTATATTTTTTTGCTTTTATTATTTTTTAATACTTCAATAATTATTGTTATTTATTTATTAAAAAAAATATCTTTCAGACTTAAACGTGAAGATTTTGAAGTTCTGAAGTTATATTATATATTATAACATGTATGAATTTCTTTTATGTTAAATAAAATGTGAATATCAAAAATTGATTTTAAAACTAGTTTGCATTATGGTTGAATTATATCTGCAGTAAGTATACAAATGGACCCAATCATAAATTTATGTTTGCACCCCAATATATATTATGTTTGGACCCAAACATAAATTATATCTAGGTCCAAACACAACTTATGTTTGGACCCAAACATAAGTTTGTTTCCAGTCAAACATACATTATGTTTGGATCTAAACATAAATTATGTTTGCACCCAAACATAAATTATGTTTGCACCCGAACAAAAAATATGTTTGGACCCAAACATTAATTATGTTTGGACCCAAACATTAATTATGTTTGGACCCAAACATTAATTATGTTTGGACCCAAACATTAATTATGTTTGGACCCAAACATTAATTATGTTTGGACCCAAACATAATTTGTTTGCAGCACCCAAACATATGTTATGTTTGGGAATGTTTGCAAACATATATTTGTTTGCTGCAAAATATGTTTGGGACATATGTTAGAGAGGCTTATATTTTTTTGCGTGTAGTTGCTGTGGTCCATTTTACAGCTAAATATAATCCATCGGTTATCCAAAATGCTAGAATTCTTCCCTGTCCTTAACTCTCTTCTCTGGAGTGTCGATTGGCTTCAATTGTATGATCAAGATATTTTTTCTGTTTTTGGTTCATTTGAACCCCTAAATATTTTGCGATCATCTCAAAATGCAAGAGGTCCCTCTGTATCTCCAAATTCATACTCATCTATATAAATTCATTGTCTACGATATTTAGCTATACTCGTCAACGAAATCAGCATAAAAAGCCAGAAGTTCGCCTTTTGTATATTTCGATATCGCCTATAAGTAATGCTGGTGTTTTTTCACACAGAAGTAGTGGTCCTTTGATTTCTATTTGTGACCTTTATAACGGCTGCAAAATCATGAAAGTTTTAAGTTGTTGGTCCATTTCAACCCCTAAATATATAGCGGACATATTTGAAAACTATAGGCCTAGCCCTTCTGAGTCTATCCCTACCCTTTTCGTAAGGATCGGACGATAATTGCAATCTGTATATAATAAACTCAACCTGTGTTGTAAGGTGAAAAAATATTTCAAAATATACATTTCAATATTATAAGTCAAATTGAAAAAATCGCATGCGATAAAAAATATGAAAAAATAAAAAATGTCACAAAATACTACAAAATCTATATTAACATCATTATTGGCATATTTTTATGCGATTTTTTTAGATTTCATTGTTTTATGCCAAAAGGGCATTCTGAATTTACGAAATTTGTCAAAATCGATCCAGCCAACCTTGAAATATAAGCATTTTAACTAACATCCCCTTCCTTTGCATATATACATTGTATATATTTCGCTACATGTATCCGATATATTTACTATCGGCATCTACGTAACGGTCAGAATTGACCTGTTTGTCTATTTGTGATTTTCCCGGGATTAGAAATATTCGCGGTTTAATGGAAAATTTAATTTTTATTAAACAGAAATATTATTTCACCCACTAAATGTTACCCGATGCCACCAAAATTGGAAGGCTTATGCCCAGCCCCATGCTCTAGCCCCATGCTAACTTCCGCGATTGGTCCATAATTGCGTCCTGTAGAGCAACTGCAAAATCAGGAAAATTTTCAGTTTTTGGTCCATTTCAACCTAAATATTATGCGATCATCTCCAAAAGAAATAGGGTTATATTCTGGCTCTAGCCCAACCTCCATTCTAAATTTCGTAAAGATCGGGCCATAATTGCGACCTGTAGAGTGATTACAAATTAACATGGACAGACGGACGGACATACATAGCTAGATCGACTCAGCTCAGCGAGATAGGAAGATCCATATATACTTTCCTATGTGGGAAATCAATATTTCGAGGTGTTACATAAATTTTGGCCCAATCAAACTTATAATACCCCCAACACATAGTGTTGTAGGGTATAACAAATAAAAAAGTATCGGTCGGTTTTGCCGACAGATGTATACCCTCAGCCAATGTTCGATTATTAAAAATATTTTGACTTCTGTTATGATTATTCGAATGTTTAACCCCTTATCCAGTAGGTTCCGAAAGAATGGGCCCATATTGGCTATTTCGTATCGGACCTAAATAAATATGATATAAATATTGTGACGTGCTAGGTTTGGACTATATCGACTACATCCTTCACTTAACATTACATATGTAATAATTTTTAGAAAATGTTAACATTCCATTCCATGTAATAATATATCTATTTATATAAAAGATCATACAAATTCGGAATTGTCTCTTGGCCGAAAAGAATAAAATCCAAAAAAATCGCGTAAAAATGTGATATATTAACATTTTCATTTTGTCATATACAATAGTAATATTTTATTTTGCATGATTTTTTTTTTTTCAATTTTCACATTCTTTTTTCTGATTTATTTAATTGACTTGATTTTTTTGAGAACTGAAATTGAAGGCAGGTTACATGGAAGTGTAGTACCGAATTATGTGGTGGCGAAACGGAATAGATGATATCGAAATAATTTAACGCGGTCACACCAAAGCTAAAAGATAATTACTTTTTCAAAATCGCTAAAAAATCACGAAAAAAGAGATCTCATTGCAAAAATTCTCAAATTGGGAAACATCGAAAAAAAAATTTCAATGGAATCGAATTTTAAAATAATAGTACATTCTATTGACAAAAATCACAAGGACCTTTAAACTTCTGCTGTAAGAAATCATCGAACAAGGCGAAGATTTTTTCAATTGTTTTTCTTTTCCTTTTTTGGCAATTTTATATAATGTACGATTAAATTTTAAATAATATTTTAATTTGACTTATCATATTGAATACAATCGATTTTTTGTAAGCAAAATACAGAATTATTTTCAAAATATAAAAGAAAGTTATGTTAGGTACTACGCTTATAACTAAAGAACGACTTGACCGATTTTGACAATTCATACAATTTTGGAATTGTATCCTGGCAAAAAATCGCGTTAAAATATGCCAATAAAAATGTGAATGAAAAAATCTTTTTGGTGTGATTTTTTTTTTCAATTTGAGATACCATATTGAAGTGAACATTTTTTATTATTTTGAATTCTGAATGAATAATATTAAAAATGAAATGACTTACCTATTTACATCCTACTTCTGTCATATGACAATAATCCCTCCAATGAGAAGTCAAAAACTGCAATTCATTGGGACTGCAATCAGTGAAATACCGAAGGATTTATATCCTTCCAAAAATTCTTCCTAAACTTTCAAGATATCTTAAATCCATTTTGCAGGTTTACATTCTAACCAAAGGTTGGTAATTTGAGAAGAAACCATCCTCGCAAAAAATGATCACTTTTGGTATAACCATCATATAATTGAAGCTATTTTCGGGATCTTGAACATTTTTTTAATTTGTTTGGCCCTTATTTGGCCTTTATATTCTATCTTAACACCAGACCTAGGGTTAATACAAATATTGGGATGTGTGAAATTTGAAGACAATCGGACTCTTACTTCACATGTTATAAGAGTTGTAATTATTCAAAACTAGCTGGCCCGGTCCGCGTTGCCGGCCCGTACTTTTGGTCTTTAATATATATTTTTTAAAGTATATAAGGACACAGATCTGAATTATGAAAGCGGCACAATTTTTATTATAAATAAAATAACTCCATAGTAATTTCTAAATAAAAAAAAAAAATCATGGCAAAAATTATAATAGATAATCACCTACCGTCGGTTTTGGATATTTTGAATAGCCTGATCTTATCTTTCAACCATAAGCTATAATTAAGTGTCAAAAATCTGAATCTGATCTGATCTGAACTTCTATAATAGCCCCATGTGAAAACTCAGCTCAGGTTTTGGTATTATAAAGAGCTTAACACAACTTGGGGGTACACTAATGTGGGAACTATACTCTAATGAATGGACAAAATACAATTTTTTAGCCAAATCAATTGATTAATGTGGTCAAGGCCAAGATGGACCCTACTCCGAAAATTCAAAATTTTATGAAAGGACATTTTCTACCCCCTTAGAAACAAAAAGGCCTAAAAATTAAAAAAATGTTCAAGACCCCGAAAATAGCTAGGAGAGTTTCTTCTTAAATTACCAACCTTTGCTGAAATGAGTATACAAAATATGGTTAGAATGTAAACTATACTCGAAATCGGGCTGTACCCTTAACCGAGGGTCATATATCATGACCTGCAAAAGCGATTGAAGATCTCTGAAAATTTAGGAAGATTTTTTGGAAGGATATAAATCACTTTTTTACTAAATGTTCAATACGATTTTCCATTTTGCACCCTTTCGGTATTTATTCGGTATTTCACAGATTGCAGTCCCAATGGGTTGCAGTTTTTGAGTTCTCATTGGAGGGATTATTGTCACTCATTTCATTTTTAATATTATTCATTCAGAATTCAAAATAATAAAAAATCTTCACTTCAATATAGTATGTCAAATTGAAAAAAATCACACCAAAAAGATTTTTTCATTCACATTTTTATTTGCACATTTTAACGCGATTTTTTGCCAGGATACAATTCCAAAATTGTATGAATTGTCAAAATCGGTCAAGTCGTTCTTTAGTTATAAGCGTAGTACCTAACATAACTTTCTTTTATATTTTGAAAATAATTCTGTATTTTGCTTACAAAAAATCGATTGTATTCAATATGATAAGTCAAATTAAAATATTATTTGAAATTTAATCGTACATTATATAAAATTGACAAAAAAAGAAAAGAAAAACAATTGAAAAGGAAAAAATCTTCGCCTTGTTCGATGATTTTTTACAGCAGAAGTTTAAAGGTCCTTGTGATTTTTGTCAATAGAATGTACTATTATTTTAAAATTCGATTCCATTGAAAATTTTTTTCGATGTTTCCCAATTTGAGAATTTTTGCAATGAGATCTCTTTTTTCGTGATTTTTTAGCGATTTTGAAAAAGTAATTATCTTTTAGCTTTGGTGTGACCGCGTTAAATTATTTCGATATCATCTATTCCGTTTCGCCACCAC